ACGCGCCTCACGAACTTATATAAACTTCGGCATGTTTATGCAGACACAAAGGAAATCAATCAAATATGGAACGGGCTATTTTTAAAAAACATATCTTAAAGGGCTTCTGAGATAGTTGTTACGCGGGATAAGATAAAGATTTCTAATAGACACATAATTGATAACCATTTTTTCTGTTCGCTAAAATATGTGAGATATAAACATCCTTGTGAATAAAATATCAGAAGATCTCGCCTATATATAGATTGTTTCCGTGTTTCCATGATAAAAATAACTATTTTAATTTCCAGTTCAATAGATTGGCTAATCAATTAATCTGTTTACATTTTAGATTCAATGAATATACATGTTATAATAACTGAAATAATGTACACACTTGGACAATTTTTCAAACGATTTCCGACAGTTTCGTGAGCTTTTTATAGGGAATTTGGGAGTCTTTGGCTATATCTTGTTCAATCTCAGCCCGTCTGATACCATATTTGAGTGGACTGGATGGTTGAGTTCATACTCCCCAAGCCCCAACACAGTAGCCTCTTTCTCCATTAATAATTATATGGGAAAAGAAACCCATGAATTGGTGAACAGTGTAGATTTACTGCTGGTTATAGGGGATGATTTAGGTGTATGACCCCTACAACCCAAGACAATATTTTAATATTGTGGCTATATTTGGTGCTATTTCATGTAGGGCTGGGGATACCCCACCAAACATGTGTGAGAGAACGAACCCTATCGATATTCTGCATTTCGTTCCAGAGTTATGCCCGCTTTTCCAAAAACCTTGCGAAACCTCTAAATATTCCGCGTTCTATGACCTCAAAGTTGTGGTTTACTACCCCCCCCCCCTTTTTTCAGAAAACTCTGCCAGTGCAATGGAGGCAACAATGTGGCATTTTTTTCCAATCTTGTGAACACGATCGATTATCCTGATCAAATTTGGTCAACATCCAAGTTTGACTGTCAAATAAGTTGATGTCAAAACATGGTTGCTGTATGGGCGTATTTCCAAGCTTTGCGTGGCTATCTTTCATAATCTGGTTAGGATAAAACCAGGGAATATTCCACTGATTTCAGTTCTTCATTTAATGAAATGTAAAATGACTGTATGACTATTATCTCATTGTACAAGATAAATACACGATAATGACATCTTGCATTGTATTTGTGTTGTGTTGTTTACATCTACATTGTGATGTATTCATGTAATGTAAGCACTGTGTGTTGCGCAGTAATTTGGCTGCATGGTCTATTAGAATAATTCAATTCAACTTTACAGACCAAGAAAATTGTCGAGACAATGCCATAAATTGGATACAAAGATACTGTGATCATCTATAAGAAAATTGTCGAAACAATGCCATAAATTGGATAAAATGATACCGTGAGCATCTATAATAAGGCCGCTATTAGTTTGTAACTGCACTTTGGTCTATATTTTACTCTTCGAAGAATAACTCCGTAGAAATCTTTCATGATGAAAGGTTTCGTGCCTAATAATCATATAAATACAACTCGGGAGTGATGGCAATCTCTTTTACACAATCTGTTTCACAATATTCATGCACGAATTTGTCTTATTCTACCATGAAACCTGTCGTTAGCAGAAATTCGTAAGAGAGAATAATTCTGCTTATGGGCATGGTAATTACCAATAAGTTTGTAGGCCTATTCAAATTTGAGGACAAAGTGAAACAATAAGCAGATGAAGCATCTCCCTAGACTAATATCAAGGCAAATTCAAATTTATACCGGCGCTACACGGGAACAATGGCGTACAGAGAGAGAGAGAGACGAAGACAGAGAGAGAGGGGCGAGGGCGTCGGGAATCCATTTCAAGCGGGCATCCTTTCCAAGATCGAAATTAAATTTAAAATTTAAAGCTGACATATTAAAATACTAGATCCTTTGGGTTACTGCACGGGAATGACCGTGTGCAATTTCATTGGACCACTGCTTGCAGGACAGTGGAGATTTTTACCCGAACTCCGAACCCGTCTATCGACCAGTAAGAACTGACGTCAGGCTTATTGTGTACAATACATACTCAAGACATAAGTATACATTAACTCGCGAAACTCGATTCATAAAATCAATAATTAACGATTTAAACAAGATCCATATTTCACGTAACACATCAATCACGTTAAGCTAAGATTGATGGAACCGTAATCTCAATTCTCTCTCGCAGTCTTATCTTTCTACTCACTAAATCTTTTCACTAATACAACATCATAATGACAATCGAGTATAAACACCATATCGACTGGATAATCAAAGTTTCTTAATGAATACTGTCGCCATGGCTCTGACGTAAAAGCAAGAACCGTATACCTATATACAGAATAATTTATCTTCAAGATATTCTCGTATAAAATTGTTATTTTCGTTCTTGCAGGAAAATGTTAATGTGGAGTTTTTAAAGCACCATACACAAACATATTGGTTCTAATATTATTCATATCGATCAATTATCCTAATTTAATTGATACATGGGTCTTACACTGCCATCTTTAAATTATTTCGACAAATAAAAGGCGTACTTGATTAAATGATTGGTGTACATCGGGTTGCTTCGAACACTGTCCCACTTCATCCATCTCACGAGGTGGTGCAAAGGGAGCAGGAATAGTTTCCAAGATGTTTTCAGTGTGAAATTTTTGTTTTCTATATTTTTCATTATTATGTATCATTATTGTTCGTATTTGATTACAACCTCGCCCATAGTTATACTTATTTCACTATTTTACCCAATGTGCCAGTTTGTCGAATAATGAAACAAAAAAGGGGAACAATAAATAAAATAGAATGTAAAATTGACAATTTAAGTATTTTACCCTTTGCAAGATCGTGAATTTAGTTTGCTGGAAAGAAACAATACTTGTTTAGTAGACGTTCAAATCGATTATTGTCTATAAACAAAACCAACTTTATTTTATGTGTTGTAATGTATATTTCAATTAATCTTTTGATTGACGAAACGTTATCGCGTAACAGATCAACCATTCTAATAAAGTAAAGTCACTTCCGATCTCGAAGTGTGCCATGTTCTCGATTTGGTATTGTTTTGGATTAATACACGGTGTAATGGAATAAAACTAGATCAACTGGGCGCAAGGTCACGTTAATTCGTTTTTTTTACAAGCCACTCTATTCTACAAGAGTGGGATTGGATGGCCGAATGATTAGCACGTGCGCGCTGTTTCATAAGGTCTGCCGTTGTACGTGACAACGAGTAGGGTCGCCTGTCCAACCTCGTGGGTTTTCTCCGGGTCCTCTGGTTTTCTCCCACTGTTAAAGACCCCTACGCAAAAGCGAATTATTGATATAAAATTGAACCATGTGTTAATCCCGAAGACCTAGTTTGTGTCGAGTGGACGTTAACTCCCCCCTCTCTCTCTCTCTCTCTCTCTCTCCCCCTCGGTGATCTCATTCTGTTCCACTCCGCTAAGCCCTTGATGACTTTGCTATTTTTTTTCGACCAATCCGAAAAAAATCGTTAAATCGTCGAGATGCAACAAAATTGTTGTGAACGTAAGCAATGAGGCTAAGACTGGTTTGTAAACTGTTTTTAGGTTGGTTCGTAAAATCAAGCTACGATTAAGAGCAGATAATTTGACTGCCCCATGGATGAAGCCAGGGTATAGTGGGGTAGAACAGAATGAGACCACTTGGGATACCGAGAATGGTTTTCACTCGGATGTGCTCAACATACATTTGTAAACAACTTTCAGGTTCTATGTTGAAGCGAGTGTGGATGTGGGGGGGGGGGCAGCACCCCTGACTTTCAGTCGTGGTTTCGAGCTCTGGAGAAGATGTGTACATGTGTTTTGGAGACAGGGGTGCCTCTGGATTTCATACAGGAAAGTCCCTTGTGCATGTACTGAATATATTAAAATAAGGCCACTTGCCTACGATATATCAAACCCATGAACTCCACTAGTCCTGCATAAAACAACATAATATAGAAACCGATAACAACCTGACAACTATGACAATTGATAAATTGATCGGCTTGTTTTATACGAAACCAAATGATGCGAACTAATCAAATATTGTCATGTATTTTATTTCTGGATGACAAAATTAAATGCACCATTGATCAGTAGAATTGAGTAAATCTTTGAATTTTATCAGTGAGAATTATCTTAAAACTACATTAGAGAAATATCGTCGCAATACTTGTAACATTTGAAGGTCTCGTTACTCTTTAAATGGTAAGTTCATGCCAATGCCAATGTAAATATCATGGCATCTATCATTATAATTATTTTTGTTTACGATATTCCCTGTAGCTATTACAAAAATAGTATTATGTGGGTAATAATTGTTGGCATAACAGTTTTGTATGATAATTAATATGTTTGCATTGATCAGAAAATGCTTATAGTGGTCTCATGTATAAAACCTACTCAAGACCAGTTTGCCTAGTTGAAATAAAGAACCATATTGATAAGATATATAAAAAACGATATATCTGTGTCTTATTGTCAAATCCAGGAAGTTGCTTGCAATGTGTACTCTTGCCGAGCACATGGGCGTCACACATGGGGGGGTCGGGGGGGGGGGGGGTCTGAATATACTTGGACCCCCCAAAAAATTTACATAGTAGGCCCAATCTCCTATTTATTTACAACAATTATTAGGATTAGTTAAGATTCTATCTGTATAAAATCTGTACATATCCCAATATGGTTTATACTGCTAAAATAAAAGACAGAGATAATCATCCTGGAAACATGTGTGAAGTGAAAAGTACCTGTGTTCCATAAAATTGTGTCTAGTTAGCCTGTCAGTAATATTTTGTTAATTTTTTTCTGCCACTTATCGCATGTAGGTACCCAAAAACATAACCGCCTAAACCAAATATTGATCGCCCGCTCAGCCAGCCACGTAACCATAATCCTTTTGCACGCGGTGTCTTGGTAGACGGCCACATGGTGTTTGTTTATATTTTTTAGGGTTTTAAAAAATGGGTTAGGTTTAAGAAATTTGGGGGGAGAGGTTAAGTCTCCACATAAGCACTGACCTAGGATGATGAAAAATTAGTTCGTGATATTTCCTAGTTTTATTAAAATACATACAATACATTAGATTTATATACAAAGGCGATTTCACTGTTTATTGGTGTTGGTGGCGCTGATGGTCTTCCTTGGGTGGTGCTTCTGGTATTCTGGTATTATTGTTTCTGAAGAAAAAAGAAAATAAATTTGAGGCTCTCGGGAGAGAGCCACATTAGTGTGTTTCCTACAACGGATTGGATTTTCTAAAAAAATCGTGTTTGTTCCACATCACCGGGTTACGGCTAGGGATTCTTATATCTAATTGATTTTAATTACTAACGGTTAGGCATAGGATTTGATATATGGTTTGTTTTGGGTCAGGGTGGAGACTGGTCTTATTTAATCTAATTTACTGTGCACTAGGATGTCGTTCAGATTTTTATTTTTAGAATATGCAATTATAAGTTTCTGTGTGAATATTTTCGGGTGATTTTCTTGGAGATCAGTATAGTGTTTTCTGATGATTTTGGAGGCACTTGCTGCTGTTGCGCTAAATGGAACTACAAAAGGAGCTATTGCGCTAGCCGTATGAATATTCAAACCTAGGGGGGCTGTTGTTTTCAATTTGTCAATCCAGAATTTTTCTCTTTTTAGCCTAAACGTTTTAATTTCTTCTGAAGTTTCAAAGTCGCTCTTGGTCTTTTCTATTGGCGTGACAATGAGATCTGAAATGTCATGATTTGGTTGGTTGAAATGAATTGAGACAGGTTTGTCTTTTTTGGTGACTATGTCAGACCGGTGACCGTTAATTCTTTCCCTAAGTGCATTTTGAGTCTCCCCTACGTATTGCTTGTCACATTTTCTGCATGAGATTAGATAAATTATGTTTGAACTACTGCATGAAAGTTGGTCTAATATTGGGAATTTTGTGCCAGATGTTTTGTTATGGAAATGGTCGGATATGTTTAAGATTTTGCATGTTTGACATCTTGGATGGCCACAAATTTTGGTTTTATGTGCTGATTGTATATTATTTGTTTCTTTGGCGGCAAGCTCAGCTAGAGTGTTGTTTTTTATACGTCGTAGATAGCGTTTGGAGTATCCCCTTTCCCGTAGTTTGCTAAATACCAATATACATGCTGACTCAAAGTCGGTCTTCTGAGTACATATCCTATGAAAACGGAGAATCTGAGATTTTATGATGCCAGAGAATGTATGTTTTGGGTGAAAGGAGCTTTTGAACAATAATTGATGTGTGTCGGTTTCTTTGAAAAATACTTTAGTTTCCAATTGGCCTGTGATTTTGGTGTTGTTACTTTTAAAAACGGTAGTATCAAGGAAATCTATGCTGTTATGGCTTACATTTGCGGTTAATTTGACAGATGGATGATGATTGTTCAGAATGTTGAAAAACGTCCAAAATTCGTCTAGTGTGTAGGTCCAGACTATGAAAACGTCATCTAAAAACCGCCCATAGAAATCTGGTTTTAATGGACAGAGTGGCAGAACTTCCCTTTCCCACTCCGCCATGAAGAGATTTGCATAACTCGGGGCAAATCGTTTTCCCATCGCAGTTCCGGAAGACTGAAGGTATACTTGGTCGTTAAAAGCGAAGTCATTCCTCCTCAGACAAATGTTGAGTAGTTTGAGGATTTCTTCGTCCGGCCTGGATGCTTGCGGGTTCCTAAGAAATGCTTTCCTAACTGCTTCAATACCTGTGTTATTATCAATGTTCGTGTACATGCTTTGTACGTCGATGGATATTAAAACGGTGTGTTCGGGGACTCTTAACTGTTTGATTTTCTGAATGAAATCGTTAGTGTCTTTAAGGTAGGATGGGTGTTGGCATGCTAGGGGTAATAAGAAATGGTCTATATATTGTGATACGTTGTATGATTCGCTGCCACAGTCTGATATTATTGGGCGTCCCTTGGGTATTTTATTAGGTATAAACCATTCTGTTTCTGGATTTTTATGTATTTTTGGTAGTGTATAGAGATGTCTTTGTCGGCAGTCAGATTTAGCAGATAGATAATCATATTGTTTTGCTGTTATGTATTCCTTATCCTGCAATTCATATAAGATGTTGTTTATTAAATTTGCGGTGTCCTTAAAGATGGGTTGGTCTAATTTAGTGTAATGTATAGGATTACTTAATTGTTTTTCTGCCTCTGAGATATAGTCTGCACGATTCATTATGACACAACACGAGCCTTTGTCGCTTTTCTTAATTATTATGTTTTTGTCCTTTTTAAGGGTGTTTAATGCCGTTTTAGTTGCTCGGTTGAGATTTGGTTTTTGTGACTGTGGTTGAATGGATGATATTTCTATATTCATTTCGTCGAAAGTTTTTAGGATGGCTGTTGATAATGACTTTTTAGGTGGTTTCCATGTGGATTTTACTGTGAATAATTTTTTACCTCTGCCGGGTTTGTTCCTAAAAAAATAAGTCAACGAAAGTGTTCTTTGGAAGCGATCGGTTGCCTGGGTGATGGGGTCTATGGATGTTATTGTGGGGGTTGGGATGAATTTAAGGCCTTTATCAAGAATGTTCATTTCTAGGGGGTTGAGAAGTCTGTCGCTCAAATTGACAACTGTCTGTCCTAAAGACGGCTTCTCATTCCTTTTCCCTAATCCTAGTTTAAATTCCTCATCCAGCAGTTGATGATCTCTCTGGCCGTGTCTGGGCTCCAGTGGATTGCGTCGTTACCTTTCAGTTCTATTTTGCCCTTGAAGGTTGGTAATGTGGTGGCGTTTGGTGAAGGTGCAGTGGAGATCAGTTGGTTGTAGCTGGTGATGTTTTGGTAGGCGATCGGATTTTCTTGTCGGAGTCGGGAAGAAGTGGGGATCTGTGTGGCGAAGAGCTTGGTTGTTGGGAAAGCTGCTCTGGTCACCTTGAGTAGATCTAGCATCTGTCTGCTCGTGTATCCTTGGTCCACTTTCCTCCCTGTTGTTGAGCCCGACGTGTATCACTAATTCCTCTGGTGCAGGACCCATGTAGTTCTGGAGTATCTGTCTGATGTGGCTGATCTTGGCTCCAGAGTAGCTATGGATCTCCCAGTCCCCGACGAAGGATGCAATCCTAGCCAGGTTAGAGGATCCAATAACCAGGGTCTTTGCCATGACGGGTGGTAGGAACCATAAATCCTTCTCGTCTTTACCTTTGTAGCTGTGAGGTCTCTTTAGGGATAGGTTGAGTGATCGCCTACATCTGGTGGAAGATCTGGTGGCGATTCTAGGGTTAGGAATGATGGGCGATCTAGGGGACAGACAGTCGACAAGCGCGTTTAGTGGCGATATAGATCCCGAGGAAGTAGGTGAGCCAGACACAGCCCGGGGCGAACTGGTTGATCTAGCTGCACGCTTCGAGGGAGTGTTAATGCAAGTGCCTTCTCCAGGGGATAATTTTCTCTTGTTGGGTGTGTATCGTTTTGGTGTGTCCCGGAGAAGGTTGTGCGTAATGTGCATGGGTGATGGGGGAGGGGGCGTGACAGTTTTAGAGACCGTGGACAGTAGGCGGTGGAACTCTGTCTTCACACTATCCTGAAGTCGCTTGCCGTAGGACTTCTTGGCCCATGCTAGGGCGTGGCTAGAGTACTCTTGTACAGCATCTTTGGAAAAGTGACGTGACTTCAAGTACTCCAGTTTCTCCGCTAGCATGGCTCGGTAGTGTGTCGACAGGGATGAGGCGACGTCCTTGGCCCATTTCAAGTTCAATGTCTCAATGGTAGTGGCTATGGTAGGCGTCTTCATGGCCGGCTTCACGAACTTATTCAGGTCTAGGATCTTCCAAGTGAAACTTCTGGTTGGTGTTCCCTTCTCCTGACTCTCCATAATGGTCAAGTGGTGGAGGCATTGGAGGACCTGAAAGAAGGCTTTCACGACACCTGCATTTTCTGGGGGTGGTTGGCGCTGGTTTGGTTGTCGTTTTGGTTGGCGCTGGTTTGGTTGTCGACTTGGTTGGTTTGGTTGTCGACTTGGTTGGTGCTGATTTGGTTGTCGACATGGTTGGTACTGGTAGCGGAATCCGGGTGGTGGTTGGTGGAATCCTGGTGGTGGTCGGTTGAAGCCTGGTGGTGGTTGGTGTACACATCGGCGTGGATTGAATTAATTGAAAGTTGGAATTCGACGAAAAGCAAACGAAGACGCCGCTCGCATGGCACAGTTTACCCACACATCATCTTCATTCAAATCACAAACTACCTCAATAACAAAGTCTCAAATTTTGACATTTGTTTGGAGTGGTCTTTTAGTTCCCAGTAACATAGCTTCAGATTAGTGATCATCCAATTCGAATTTACTGAAGGTCATCTAATTCTCTTAAAATATCACGGGAACAATGAGTCAAACAACTGAGTATCGCCTGCATAGTAGTGCGATTAATATCATCTTTATCGATAATACAAGCTAAAGCTTGTGTAGCAAAAACAATATTGGACCGAGAACTATCCTTGGGGCAAACGGCAGGTAAGTCGAGTAGGATTTGATTCTACAGTAGGCTATTTATGAGCAGTTCCAGTGATATTGGGGTCGATTAGCAAGGATCTGGTCATTGACGGTGTCGAATCCAACCGAAGAGTCATATAGAGTGCTATTTCAACGCAGTTCACTGAACGTTAATTTGACGTCGACCCAACTCTAGAACGATAAGCTGCTTGAAATTTATCTCAAGATTGTCTTAACAGTTGCTATGCATGCACATGATCTGTTGTTTATAACATACTAAATTATATTTGAATCAATAATTTGTTGATCTAATTTCAACTGTAACTCAACGGTTGATTATGTACATGTCACATGTCATCGGTAAGTTTGAAAAATATATTATCATTGCCGGTTTATCACAACATTCTGTGCTCTGTCAGCGGATTATTCAATGACTGTTAACAATTGTTTAATGTCTAGCTTAGATCGTGGCGTTGAGGACCGCGTGTCACGAAGATCACAATACTGAGATTTTAACATGGAACTCTATTGTGCTGAATAAATTTTAACACTACCACCCAAAATATTTTTTATCAAAGGAATAATATTTTTGTCTAGAAAAGAATTTGGTATGGCAATTTTATTACAATTGATTTTGCCGCAGGAGCCAGTAGGTAGTAAAATTGCTACTGTGTATACCTTGGGAGTGTCGTGGTTAATTACGAGCTGTGGCCTTTTTGAAATTAGAGGGTCTTCACCTTTAAAGCTAGCCCTTTTAATTTAATACCATTTACCACCACCGCTGTTAACATGTTTTCCCTTCTTGATCACAATAGAACCACTCACCCTGGCTATCAAATCTTGTATCTTTCCTGATAATCTTTCCGGATACTTTTACGCAGTGACTATATCGCCTGCTGGATAAGCGTCTAGAGCACCTCATCGTCTTAACTTTCATCCTCCATTTATCTTTCAATAAAACAATACTTTAAAACTTACGTAAATACGTTTATCATGCGTGTTGTCCGAATAACATTGTCTAGTTTAATGTTAGAACTGGAATTTCTAAGACTAGGGTAATCAACTATTTCCGAATACCGCTTTCAAAATTATATTCTCTCTTTAACAGTGACGTAGGTGGAAAGACGAGTTTGGAGTTGCCAATGCTTTGGCATAAACAATTGAGATAGATACTGACGTCAGCAAAACACATCAAAATAAATCACAACGAATTTCTCTTTTAGCCTTGGGTAGGAGGTATTTATTATAACGTAGTAAGAGGTCGATAATTGTTCGTAACAAAGCACACGAAAATAAATCCTGCCTTAATTCATATATCCATGGAATGATTCGTCATTTGTTCAGCTGCTGCTGTTATTAGGGTGTGATCTAATGGATTGGTCGAGCATTACAGGTCGTGAAGATAGTAAACACTTAGTTTGTTTCAATGAATGGTGTGGATGGATTGGATAATTATGATTAATGGCGGACTGGCATTCGGTTTTAAAGGTGAACTGCCACCGTAGACGAGGTCATTGATGGAGCTGGTGTTAAATCAATAAAGCATCAGTCATGCAATTTTGCAGTAAAACAGATCACGGTAGATTAGTGAGTAAAGCGCGAGCCCATTAAACAGCAGGTCCGGAGAACATTTAGCAGAGTTTCCTGCGTGTTTCCCCTTATCAGTGGCGCAGGACCGTTGTGCTGGATTAGGTTGGATGAGATGAAAAGATACTAGAATTCGATGAAGAGTAGGCGGAAAAGCCACAATAGCCCGGTTGGTTCAGAAAAGAATGTTAAACCTTATTTCATTCCGTTAAAATAAAACGTGACTGGGAGAAACCGAGGAAATACGCCCGATTTTTGCTTTGAACATTTAAGCTTTATTAGTCTAGCTCGCGCCAGTCTTGACAACAACAATGATTAGTCAAGACAACGTAATGCCAAGTCGTACCAGGAAGACACAATCACGCGCTTTGTGTACATGGGTTAAGAGGTTTTGTGCTCTTTGAGATTTTGCGCGCCGTCTCAACGGGATAAATTCGCGTGGTTTCACTGCGGTTATCAACACTATAATCATAATCTTAACGCTCAACAAGTGTCAAAACATGTTCCGATATAAAAATTGGCTTGTGTGTACCTACGGTATCTTGTTCGTCGTGCAAAATCAACGGTCGACCACTTCCCTGGGTTGAGAAAGGTTTTGATTTGTTTTACAGTTGGTTGATAGGAAAATGACATCGGATTTGGAATGTGCCGCATGCATTGTTTACTGATGGATGGAACTTTATATAGGTAGACAGTGGGCAATGAAATGGGGTTTAACGTCCTATTGGTCTGCTCCAACTGGGCTAATGAAGACAGTGGCAGACAGAGCCCAGGCAGATGTTACCAATACAAAATGGATGCAAATATTCGTCGTAATAAAATTAATAATAATTTAGGCTGAAGTGGTCATGACTAAAGCTTAGTCTACAGTACATTAATTGTTTATACGATTGCGTGCAACGCAAAAGATAATACCACCGGCCACCGCGGAAGCAAATTGGAATCCCATAGTTAATACACTCATCCTGAAATAAGCCTGACTTGAGGCAGGGGATCATTATGTCTGTATTTTACTAGGGGTTACCCCGCTAATACGTTTGCCCAATCTTATTTCATTTAATAGTTTCACAGTTTCCGTTTTACAAAACAACTTATACAAAGATTTTAATTGTTCAGTATCTTGCAATTTCTTCCTTCATTTACCGGCACGCATGTAATTGTTTTCACCCGAACGTTTTTACACACTTGGCACCACAAATTGCTGTAGAAGACAATGACTGTCTATTTGAAATATGGAGACCGTACCACTGTAACATTTGAAGTATTGGGTTGCCTAGCAAGTTAATTTGTCATGCTTTAGTAAAGAATCGTAGGTGGGTAATAACGACAGGACTAATTACTCCAAGGTCTTATTTCTACATGAGTATGACATCTAGGAGTTGATCAATTATAACTGGTCACGTACGGTACTTCTGTCAATATTGCATAGGAAGCTCATTTAAGAGAGGTGACAGAATCATCTCTTGTTGTTTTGGTGAATAAAACTGATTATGTGTGAAAGGCACAGCTGGACGAGCTGGTCTCAAGTAACTATCTGAAACTTTTGTGTTACGTTTTTAGAAACTGAAGTAAAGACGAGCTTGTTAACTAAGGTGTATTTAATAGTCGCGCTAATTAGGTCGCCCTAACCTGTGTAACCAGTGTAAACTGTTTTGATGTTCATTTTGAAACGAACCAATAATATCTTTACATTCTGACGTTGAAATTTGCATAATAAAACCCATATTCTTTATCGGAGAACTTTACTAGGGACAACTGGAGTTTCTTCTTTAATAAGAGGAAGTCGTGGTGTTCAAGGGAATATGATGCTGCCTCGCTAACCATGAGGTCTTGGGTTCACTCCCAGTACTTTTGGCCAAGAAAGTTCCTCA